TTTCTTTCTGGGAAGTGGGTTTATAATGAACATCAAATGGTCACAGAAGATGTCTCAGAAATTATTAGAAACTACTAATAATGCCCCATTTTAAAATAGGATTGCATATAACCGATTTAGTTGAGAATCTGTTACATTTTATAAGATTTTTCAGAGGAAGATTTCCCAGCAGCAACCCTCACAAGTGTTTCACAGTAACACGACTGTGTAACTCTACTTTTCTCAACTTTTTCAATCAGCCGGTGGCCCTTTAGAAAGCTGAATAATCTCAGTGTGCTCCTCGGAGCTGCAGCAGCGACACCTGGGAGCTTGTTAGAAATGTGAATTTTTGGTACTTGCCAAATGAGAAACTTTCTAAGTAAACATTTTGCCATTTCTCTTCTGAACCCTCTCTGAAATCCTAAATTTGTTCCTCATTGGAAGCCCAAAACTAGGTAGCTCCTCTGAGTAAGCAAGTTCTGACTATATTGCGTAGCTCATAAGATGCCTGCATGTAATATGGTCCGATATCTGTTTTCAAAATTATGCCGCTGTCTTGCTGGTTTACAATCTTTCTGTTACCTACTATTTTTCCAAAGTGTGTGTGTTTCTAATATGTTTCTAACATGGCTCTGACTTGCCTCATATTTATATGATTTATTTTTTTCATCTGTAGTTTACTGCTTTACTCTTTTCATTTGGTCTTTTGTTTATTTCTGTTAACTTCTCTAATTTACCAGCGTCACGTTGAATTCTGATGCTTGTTTTGAGTTGTGTTCTTCTGTTTGACTTTGCATGATAGAGTGATGTTTTACATCCAGGTTGTGGGTGATGGCTTAGAACCCAAACTTCCTAATTAGTGTTTTGCTTGTTCCTATGCTGCAGTATTAATGTGTTTTCTTTTCATGAGTGGGGCAGGAGGAGTTAAAGGTGAAGCTCTAAAAAGTTCTTTTGCTACTTAGGGGCTCACACATCTTTATCTTCTCCCCAAATTGTACTTCTAACAACAACAAAAAAAGAGTTTTACTTTTTCATATGAGGGGTTGCTAAAACATCCTATTAGGTAAAGCTAATACTTTGTTTAAAATGAACAAGATCTTTGATCTTTGTGTTTATTGCATTTATATCTTGAATTCTACTGTATGGGATATTTTAAATGGAAACTTTAACTTTTCCATGAGGCGTGAAAAGCTAAAGTGATTAAGGTCGCACAGCTATTTAAGTCGCAGAACTTTGAGTAAAGCGCATGGATTTTGATCCCCAGTCCTGGGTGCTTTTCATAATCCACCTTGTCAATTTGCATCCACTTAATCACCTATAATGAGTTCATTATTTTATAGGTGTTGAGCCTGTTTTTATTTGCCTTAGGGCTTACTAACTGGAAAGTTCTCATATTTTGTCTACCCATATGACAGTCATACTGCCAGTCATTTTTATTGCTATAATTCATTTGAAACACATTCATGGAGACCCTCCTAGGTGTCAGGTGCTTTGGAATGTAACAGCAGCAATATAATATTTGGGTGTGATTGCATAACTACAAATTCCCTCACATGTACTCATCTTGCTTAGCCCTTCCTGCAGCTCTGTGATGGGGAAAGAAGCATAGGTTCAAGCCCACAGTCCTTGATCCCACTTGTTGTGTACCTGCAGGGACAGGCTAGCTGCAGAGGTCGCAGGTTAGAGAGATCTTCCTTTTTTCCACTATACTATATTAAGGTTTTCATATAGCACTGCTCCTAAACCATCTCATGTTCATCTTCCAGTCAAAGAGTATTTCCAGTCTGCCTTATTGTGCTTTTTATATGTCTGATGACCCAGAAAGAAATGGTCCAAGGGTCAAAGGGCTGCAGTTGCTTGCTTTTTTTCTTAAAAATGTTAATGGTTATAATTATATGAAAATCAAGAATGTCTGTTAATCAGAAAGATCCCATAAAGAGAGTGGAGAGTCTAGCCACAACTTGGAAAAGGTACCAGTATCCATATAACCTCCAGAGGATTAGTACCCAGAGTATATGAAGTGCAGAAATGAATAAGAAAAAGACAAAGAGCCCAATGGAAAAATGGGCAAATAACAGGAATGAGAATTTCATAGAAAAGGAAATGTGTTATTAACTAAACATAAAAAAAATTGCTCAACCTAAAAAGCAATGATGAAAATGCAAATTATGGCCACAATGAGATACCATTTTATATAGACTGGACTGGCAAAAATTAAGTCTGATAATTCCAAGTGCTGGCAATTATGTGGAGTAATGGGAACAGTAATATAACTGATAGGAATGTGAAATGGCACAACTGCTTTGGAAAACAATCTGGCACTATCTTGTAAAGTTGAGTTTATACCTACCCTTTAAACCAACAATTTTCTTCATAGGCATGCACCCTAGAGAAACTATTGTGCATGTTTATAGTAGCAAAAACTGGGAAATACCCAAAAGCCCATTGCTAAGAGAATGGGCAAATACATCTCAGAATTCTTTTGCAATGCAATACTGAGCAGCAGTGAAAACGTATCAATAACAGTTAACGCAATAATATGGATAAATCTCGGAAATATAACATCGAGTGAAAAAAGCAGGTCCAAGAATATTTTCTCATGTATTCTGTTTTATAAAGTTCAAGAAGAAGTAAAACTCCATAATGTCTTGTTGAGGAATTCAAATGTGATAAAATGATCTAAAACACGCCAGGGGTTATTCCTGAGACCGAGGAAGAGAGGAATGAATTTGGGGAAAAGCGAAAAGATTGAAGAGCATTACAACTATTTTAGATCTTACATTGGCTGGTAGATTCATGTGAGCTTTTTTTTATGATAATGCTTTATATTTTACAAAAATGATAAGAAGAATATTACACATACATAAGACATTTTTTAAAAAGGTAAACTGATGACGCCGTTTTCCTGTTGGTCAAGGGAGGATATGGAGACTTCATCTGTGAAACAACACGAGGCCTTCACTTCTGTCTGTGGTTGCTACCTAACCTCACGATGACTGTTTCCTGCAGGGTCCTTGGCTTTCCTGTGTGGCCTGCGGGCTGAGGAGGATGGCTGTGAAACCGGCAGCCATACCTACGTGCAGTGTGATTTGACTGTTGCCATGGGGACAAAGAGACTGCTGGAAACATGGCCTTATGTCTACATTTGTGAAGGAAGTTCCCAATCCCTCTTGGTGCCTGATCATTGGACAGAGTCCACCTTTCCGTCGTTCTCAGGCCTCTTCATCAGGTAACCCTGTCTTCTCCCTCCCTGACCCTCCCCACAAATGCATGGCCTAGGGACCAACAGAGACATCAGAAAGTGTAGGCCGGGTGGATGCAGCCTGAGGGACCCGCAGCGCTGTTGGAGGGGCCATTCTATTGTGGATTCCAGCCAGCCTGCATATCAAAGCATCTCCTGTCTTTTTCAAGTGTTCAAGAGAACATCTGAAAAATCTGCCCAGTAAACAGCTCACTTTGTTCTTGCTTAGATTTTAATATTTATCTTCCGATCCAAAGCAACATCTGGTGAATGCCAATGGGGAAAAAGATTAGACATTATGAAAAACAGAAGGCTTTTCCCCCCTTTCCTTTTTCTTTTCTTTCCAAACAGATTCACAAGTATGAAAAAAAGTCATAGAGAAATCCAGCAGATTGTACAGTGTTTATTCAAACGAAGGGGGGTTGTGCAGGCAGAATTACTGTAGATCTAGGATTTAGAAGCCATAAGTTTATAAGGATTTTTTGAAGTTAAAAAATACCAAACAACAACTAACAAATAAATACCACAGCTTTCCAGGTTAAGTCCTCTTTTCTAAACAACAACAAAAAAAGTGTGACCAAAAAAAAGTGTGACCACATTGGTAACTTTGGACAGCCTTAATTTCAGCAAGCGGTTCTTTTCCTACACAGGGCTCAACATTGGTCTGCATTCTTCTTTATTTCTTGTCTAGATAGAGTGGTTATATCTGATTATCTAATGAAGGCCTATTTTCCCATTAAAATATAAAACTAAACCAAAACATTACCCACAAATGAAAAAGATAACAGCTCTTTCCATGGCAGTCTGACTTTTTGATGTCCTGAGACAGTCTGTTTTAGTATGAATTTGCCATCAGAGGTTTGTGTTCAGGCAGAGGAAAAGTGGAACCTCCCTGGCTGGTTGCCTTCTAGAAGGGTGTAAAGAACCCTGTTTTCATTACATAGGAAGTGGGGTACTGAGAGTTGTACTCAGGTGGGACTGGATTTGAGAACTAACCCATGCTGGACACCAAGAAAGACATGTCAGCAGTTCCTGGCTCCACTGAGTCCAGAGACTTCATCTGAACCCCCACAGCTATTCCTCTGGAGTTCTTCCCCGCCTTTCCTCTCCACTCTAGCAGGTGGCTAAGGAACTGAGCCTCAGACCCCATTACAAGTTATACCCTGAGCTGTTAGTATAATTTCAGAAGTGCTGCTCAATGTTGCAGCTATTGCAGCAGGCAAAAGTGGGTGTGTTTTCTTGAGTAAGAATTAAAATAAGTGCCTTGTGTCTTAAAGTTTATACTTAGTGTTGATGAGTGTGGGTAGGGGGACCCCACACTGCACTTGTTGCCAATGGAAAAGTAAGTTAATACAGTCTTTAGAGGAAAATTTGGCAATGCACTAATAACTTTATAGTTCTTTGTACTCTGTTGCCCAGCAATTTCACTTCTAGGATTTTATTTTAAGAAGGCAGATAGAAATGTGTAACATTTACAGACAACCATGTTCTTTGAAGTGTCAGGCATAACAAAAAATTTAAAATGATTTAAGTTTTGGTAATAAAGGATGCATCCAAATGATATGATACTAACGAACCTGTAAAAGCCATGATATAGAATATTTAATCAAACAGAGAAATGGTTACATGATATTGAGAAGTGAAAATCACAGATCACAAAATACTGTATTAATTTAATCCTGCTGCTTGCTGTATATTGTATATATATTTGTACACACACAGGTGATTAGAAAAAAGACTGGAAAGATGTATTCTGGAATGCTGATAGTGCCTATCTCTAGGTGACTGGAGTACTAATCATATTTATTTTTTAAATTGAGTTTTTATATATTTTTCCAGTGAATATGTGCTGGTTTAATAACCAGAATATACTCTATAAATTATATAAGGGGCATTAAGAAAATGAGGTGCCAAATAGCTTACTCGGCTCCTCTCAAGATTATGCTTGTGAACCAGAGGACTCCTTTCCAGGATCTTTTCAGAGAACCCACTTCCATTAAGTGCTTTATCTCCCTGCCAGCTACTACCACTATGGACTTTATGCCAATTGGCAAAGATAGACGTGTATCTATGGCAAAAATATGCCTTGTCCATCCATCTGTTCATCCATCCATCCATCCATCCCGAATTTGTCAAGTGCCTACCATCTAGGTATTGTGCCAGGTGCTGATGACTCAGTGGTGAACAAAAGTCCGTGTCCTTACTGGCCGAGGAGGAAGTCAGACAGTAAACAGGATGCTCATGTTCACATGATATGATGAGTGCTATGAAGTGATAGAAAACAATGAGGCCTGCTTTAGACGGTGTGCTCAGAGGAGGCTGCTCTGAAGAAGTGTCTTTTATGTTCTGGTAAAAAGAGCAGAAGGTGTCACTATGAAGAGTCAGGCGGGGGGCAGCAAACGCAAAGGACCCATCAAGTTTTATGAACTGTCAGAGGCCAGTAGGGTGGGAGTGGAGTGAGAAGGAGGGAAGGGGGCCCTAGATGAGCTTGGGGAGGAATGGAAAGCCTTGAAGGCCAAGAGAAGTTGTTCGGATTCTATGCTAAGTGAAGATTACATAACTTTCCAGAGTCCCACAGTCAAGCCATGACAGTGTTGGGAGAGAAACCTGGGCTTGTGACTCACCATGTACTGAGCATGATGCTATACTGTCAGCACCAGAAATGAAAACCTTGATTGAGCTGTGTGGGCTCAATATTTCAGAGCCACAGGAAGCAACTTCAGGTTAAGCGAGGGAGACAGAATGCCTGCGAGTGTTTTTATAACCCATCCTAAGGAGCACATAACAAGATTATCTGCTTAGTTTAGGATCTAGTGACACCAACTGAAAGAGCAATAGATTGGATGTCTTGGATTTTAAGAATCATAGGTTCTAAAACTCTCTTTGCCACTATTTGAACCAAAAATTTTTACCAATCTCCCTCAAATAAATATTTGTGTGCGTGCATGTGTGTATGCATGTGCTTCCAGATCTTTATTTCTTTACATATATTGGTATCTATCTATTTACATATATTTACATTTAAATCTGGCCTACTGTACCTCTTAATTCACAGGATTATTGTGGAAGAAAACATGGAATAGTAGCTAGCTATTGAGAAACTTTGAAATTTTGTAAATGTTAGTCTATTTTTGATATCCTGTTGTCTCAGCTAATTTTGGTTTCTAGCAAGGTGATCAGGGACAAATACCAAAAGAAGTATGAGCTAAAGCTTGCAAAAACAAGTCTAAGCTAACAGAAGGGGGTTTGGCTCTTTTCAGAGCAAGAAGAACATGATTAGGGAAGACCGTATGTTGTTAACAGGCAAACAGCAGGACGGCAGAGTGACTCAGCCTGTTTCACTCATACCTTTGCTTAGAAAGGGCAGAAGAAGGCTTGTTAGGAGGGTGGAAGTCCAAGGCCAAGAACAGTTGTAAAGGAAGTCGGTCACTACACTCCTTAAGTTCAAGTCTATAGCCCCAGATCATTCATATCCTGGGTACAAAAACTTGTTTATACAATTGAGGATCTGCAGCTGACAACAACCACGAGAAGGAGGCATGAAACAGAGAGAGGCGATGGGCAAAAATTCTCTGAATTAACTAAAAAGGGAAAGAGGGGAAATTCTGGAAATCTAGAAAACTATTCTTCATGTTATCCCTGACAAAATTCTAGAATGAATTATTAATCCGATGGTTTGTGAGCCTTCAGAAATGAAAGTGGCTCTTGGAACTGATTCACAAAGCATGTGATTGTGTGGCAAAGCAACTTCATTTCCTTTCTGATAGGTTTATAAATGATTTATGACGTAAATATAGAGGGAGAACTCAAACGATTTCAACAACCTCACCACTCCCAGTAGCAAAAAAAGAGGTTTTAGGTTCAAAGCCCAAAGTGACCTGACACAAGCCTCAAACTGCTTTCACGTCAGGTATTTTGAAAGTCCATGTAATTTTGCATTCAATTCCACCTTATTTGCATATTTACCTAAATATTACATTACATTTTATTTAAAAAGTTAAAAAAAATTACTTTGCTTTCCATTTCTTAATCTTGGAGGATGACTGACACTCCAGGAGCAAATTCTGTATTTATCCCGTGGCTTTGTCCACTCAGTGGATAATGGTTCAGCTAAATGGATTTGTAGCTAGACTACAGGCTCCAGACTCAAAATGCATTTTGAGCAATGGGTTCAAATCAGTGAGATGAAATGTAACAATAATGAATGTAAATTCCCACATTTACATTTCAACAATAATATTACCAGCACCACTGCTACCAGAAACTATAACAAGAGCTGTTTTTATTGGACACTTACGTGTACCAGGTGCTGTGCTAATCATTTATAATGCTTCATTTTGCTCAGTTCTCTCCACACCTCTACAGAATAGGTACTTGATTATTAGTAACTCCTTTTTATCAATGTGGAAACCAAAGCCTACAGAGTAGTGTCTTCCATGTCATATATCTACATGGTAAATATCTGTGCTGGGATTCAAATCTAGCTGATCTTCTTTGAAGCCTAACCTTAGCATGCTAATACTGCTCAGAAAGTCAGCTGAGCAAGTACAGCCAGGTAAAGTTGCAGCTCTGAGACTTTGAGTTTACTACCCTCTTAATATAAGCATGGGGAGGGGGAGGGCTACAAAATGAACAGTGTTAGGTGTGGTGGATGGAGGGCTCAGGTAAAGGGAGACCAGAGCCCCAGTGGTCAGCCCAAACTATCTGCGTTCATTTTTTGGGGGGTGCGATGTTAAAATATTGACAATTTCCCATATGTCTAGAGGATAGCAGATGTGGAGGTCATGCCTTAGGTGGATACAGAGTTGAGAATATTTCAGCATGAAGAAGAGAAGATTAAGTGGCGAAATGTGATCGTTATCCTGCTCATTATTTTTTGCAAGTTGTGGGAGAAACCATTTTGATATTGATTTGAAAAAAGATGCCGCAGTTCAACATGATTTATAGTTTCTCAAGTGGTGCCTTTTGCCTTTTCCCACACCCTTCCTGGTCTTCCCATGGGATCTGCCATCTCTGTGGCTGATGTTTGATCAGCATCTCTGAACTTGAGAGCTCTAAGAAACAGGACAGCTGGGTTCTGATCTCAGAGCTCCTGTAATTTTGTTTTCGACTTTATGCAAATCTCCTCATCTCTTTGTTTTACCTTTTTTTACACTTCCACCTAATTTACAGGCTGAAAAGAGGTGATACATGTGGAACTGTTGAAAAGTATAAAAACATCATGCATTATTATTACTAATAATCTTTGAGTTAGTTGCCAGGATTATTCTTGAATGAATATCACACCTGTTGGGGACAGTACCCTTCAATATCCATGCTCTCGCCTCCTCTAGACCACATATTTTTAGACTTTTGGTAATGCTGCACTGCTGTTTTTCCTTTTAAATCCAGTCTGGCTTCTCCTCTTAAAGCAAGAGGACTTTTAAAACTAGTGGCTGGTAGTATAACTGGCACATATATCGAATCTCCTTAGCCTGGGCTGTTAAGTAAGTTTAATTAATTTACTAAGTTAATGTTCCACTGCCAGCAACAGAGCCTCATTGCCATCAGCTGGGGAGAGGGAATTGAAAGCCTAAATGAGCTCATTTTTTCACAGTTGGAATTAGGGACCAGTTAGCCAGTTGTGTGGGTTTTCCAATTTCTCCATCTGCCCTGGGGGGATTCAGGCAATTCACTCCCCCAACACTAAGTGTAAGAGCAGGAAGAGGAAAGGGGAAAAGGAAAAACAAAAACAAAAACTGTCCTCAACATTTGCTTCCACTTTCAGAACTGGTAGCATTGTCTGCATATTGCTTGTTAAGCTGGGTTTGGAGAAGCTTTTGCTAATGTTCCTAATAGATTTGGAAAAGAGAAAGGCCTCAGTGAAAGATATTTACCATGTGAATTTTCATTGCAGGGTGTGCAGATAAAGGGAAAACAAATAAACAATAAAAGAATGGAAACAAAATTACAGAAATTTGCAAAATTTGACAAATGGTGGCCTGTAGTTGCCACAAGCTAATGGCTTGCAATGATTAATAAGAGTAAAAATAATTGCATTTCATTAAGATTGATGACACCCCATTTAACCTCCCCACTCCTTTCAGCCCTAAAGTGGAAAGAGATGAAGTTCTCATCTATAATCGCTCCTGTAACATTACCATGGAAACTGAGGCAGAGATGGAGTGTGAGACGTCTAATCAGCCAATTACCGCCAAGATTACTGAGATACGGAAAAGCTGGGGCCAGAACACTCAGGTATAATCAAATCTTTTTTACAGACTGATTCAAACAGCTCAAATTAAATTTGTAATATTGTGTACATTAAAAAAACAATTTAGTCCAAATGGCAGCGATATATAATATTAAATGCTTTCAAACTTTGAGGAGCTGGTCTAATGCACAACATCTGAATTCATAGTTAACTATGGTTAATCATATATTTTCTCAAAAATAAATGAGTGCTGCCTGAGCTCTTTTAAAGCGAATTCTGAACAGATAATCTCAGCATTTTGTCCTGATTTCTCCATGAGTGTTTGAAAGGGGCTCTCTGTGGTTTATTTTTCATAAAATAAATGGCATACAATGTAACCAGGCCCTTCTGGAAGGCTTCCAAATCACCCAGCCATCCTCAGCTTGGTGGGACAGCAATGTTTGCTGGTATATCTGGTTCACCTCTGTTCCGTGGGGAGCAGAATGGAAACCTCAGCTTCTGAGGAGATTTCATGGAAATTAGAACTGAAAAGGACCACGGGGTCATTTGGTCCAGCCTTTCTACCTCAGCAGCTCATCCATTTTAAAATTGTCTAAACCACTCCCTCCAAGTGGCTCTTCTAAGAATGTGTTCTTAAGTCCCCTGTGAGAGATTTCACAGCTTCCCCAGGGAATTTGCCAGAATTGAAATCAGAGGCTAAGGGCTCTTTGGAAATCCGATAATCTTTTAAGACTCCCCAGGCTTTTCACTGTACACAGATAAAAAATAATATTTATTGAGCACCTAGCCCCTTAGGTGCCTTTCTCTTTATGAAAGCAATTCTCAGATTTTCCTCTTTTTGTCTCCTTTATTTGGAACAAACATTTATTGAGTGCCTATTATCTGCCACACTCTGTACCAGATTCTCCCATGGATGCTGCTTCAGTCAAACTGTCCTGATCCAACACTATACTTCCTGGGTTTGTAATGTATGTTTTCCTATACCTTTTGTACTGGTGCTGAAAATGTATGCAGTTATATAAAAATAACACTTTTTATTTTGTCCTTCTTACACCATTTCCAATCTATCTTCCCACCCCCTGGGGCATTGCTGTCCATCCTACCTGCTCCCCAGGCTTTTCACTCCCCCTTACCTTCCCTCCAGGTGACTGCCCAGGGCTGTCACTTCTTGCTTCAGTGTGCCCCCCAAAATGCCTCTTCCTTTCAATTCCATGCCCATTTTAATTCTTCATCTCCAGGACCACTGTCCCCTAATCGCAGCCTCCACTCCTCTGCCTCTTTCTCAGCAGTCGGCTGTCAATGTTTCAAAAGTTGATTATAGTGACTTGGGACTGCTGTGGGTCAGTGAGCATCCTTAGGCCTCTCTGGGCCTCAGTTTCCATCTGGGTGGGTACTAACCTGGTGGTGTTGGGATACTTATGGGAGCAAATGCCAGTGAAAGAGAGAGAGAGGCAGGTTAACACAGTAGTCAAGTGTGGGGGCTTTGGAGCTAGACTGCTGGATTAGAATATATCACTTGCTACCGGGGGACTTCAGGCAAGTTACTTAACCCCTCTATGCTTTCGTTTTCTCATCTAGAAAGTGGGGATAATAACAACACCCACCTAACAGTGTTGCTGTGAGGCTGACAGCATGTGAGTCACTGAGAACTGCATTTCACACATAGTAAATGTCCAGTGTTAGCCGTTACTGGCAGCACTAGTTCACTAGGAATGGTGCTAGAGAGTGACATGGAATTATTTCTCTGTAGCACTTGCTGCTTCGGCCAGATCATTTCATTTCTTAGATTTTATTTAATTTTCATCATCTCAAAGTCTAATTTTGAATTTTTCAAGAGGCTTAAATGCCTCACTCATTTAAAAATATTTATGCAACATATATGAGGGACCTCAAAAAGTTCATGGAAAGATTCTTATTATCCTTTAATTCATTTCTTCCATGAACTTTTTGAAGTACCCTTGTATTTATTGAGTTCCAACCATGTTCAAGGTCCTCAGCCATGCTCTGAAGGAGACAAAAAATAATATGGAAAGAGACCCCACCTTTAAGGGTTAGTAGGAAAGTGAGACCATATATGGAAATATATAAGGTTCAAAGGAGGGTCAAATAATCAATTCATCACAGTTGGATGAAATGTTGGACATCATTCAGATCAGCCATCTCATTTCAGAGATGAGTTAACTGAGATTCAAAAGAGGGGTGACTTGATAAAGGTCACATAGCTAGTTATTTGGTATCATAACCCATGTGGCCATAAGTCATTGTGGAAGTATCTTCAGGAACCAGGGGATCGAGTCTATCAAAACTCACTAGGCTAGTGCTAATGTGTAGGGAACTCCAGTCCTAAGAGGGTGAGGGGGTGATGGATACCACCCTTGAAGGTTCCAGATGTGATAAGCATTGTGCTCAAGTGTTGGTGATAATGTTACAGTTTTAAACAGTCTATTGGGAGCAGGACCCTATCAAGTAGCCAGGAGTACATGGAAAACACAACAGGATGCCATAAGACAACCAGAAGTTTTGAGGGATTCTGAAGCACAAATAGCACTTTAGGTAGATGGGTAGAGAAACTGCAGCAGAATAATCACAACCCTAACCAAGTTTAGAGAAAACTGTAAAGAGTACAGCTATACTTTTCAGTTGATCTCTGGAAGAAATTCCGAGAGTGGGATGGGGCAGACACCAGGGAAATTAATGAGGACTGCTATGCTGACATTTCCTTTCTTCTTTCTCTCCCTTTCCTCCTTATTTCCCTGTGTATATGGATTGTTTGGATCTGTGGCTCTCGAGATGAAGTATTAAGAGCAACTCATAAAAAAGGAGTGATTATTTGGGGACAGGAGATGGATTTTTTTTTATTGTGGGTGTTTTTAGACTTTTTTTTATTGGGGCTGTTGTTAGACTTGGCCAAACCCAAGGCAACCCTTGAACCCCATGACGGACTGAGAGAAAGGAAGAAAGGGCAGTGGAAAGCAGCTTTCTCCTCATTTCTGCCTCCAAAGAATCCCTGTACTTTCACTTCATTTATCCAGATGTCTTACCCAGCAATTTTAGTTGTGATAACTTGAAGGAGTTTCTCTGAACATTTGACCTTCCCTACCAATGAAAAAAAGAAGTCAGAAAAAATGCTGTTAAAGTTCTCTGGGAAAAGATTTTGAACCTAGAATCCTACACCCAATCAAATCCTATTTGGAATAAGAACAAAATAAAGACATATAAGCTACACAAAATTGAGAAAGTGTATCTCCTCATGTGCTCTCTGAAAAATGATGTACTCTGGCAAATTGTAAAATGAATTCAAGAAAAGAGATAATATGGGATACAAGAAACAGTGATGAACAAGAACCTGAAAAACAGCAAGAACAGAATAAAAATTGTTGATCGTGTGGCTGTGAAGCTTAATGTAGTTGTTAGGAATGAATTTTTAACCACATAGAAGCAGAAACCTACTGTTTCAAGTGGGTATAACAAAAGGAGAATTAATCAAAATATATTTCAGGCATAAGATAACAGAGGGTACAAGGCTGTAATCTTTGAAAGAAGGGAACATACAAGAAAAGTGGCTTTCTCTCTGAGAGTACTATTCAAAACGCAGCACAAGGAAATGAAATCCAAACAGAGAGGAATAGTCTCGGTAGAATTTGGAGAGCAGGTACCAGAGAGGAGGAAGTATGCACAGAAGGAGATCCAGAAATCTGTGTCTCTTGAATCTTTTGTCAAATACTTGATGAATCACGTGAGTACATTTTTGTGAGGTTTGGCAAGCTTGAAGTGAACATAAACGCCAAAGTACTGGGAATACTATGGAACAGCACAATACTGGGAGATTTTTGAGGGCTGACCAGTTGGAATAGAGAGGCTTCACTTAAAAATTGAATTGAACCCGCGGGGAATTGAGTTGAGACCTCAGAAAGACCACAGTAAGGAATAGGATATTCTAGCCCTACAGTGAATCTACTCTAGACCCACTCAAATGGATCCTGATAGGATTAAATTGTTCTTCCACTAAGTTAGTTGCCTGCTAGAGCAAAGCTCAACATTCTTTATAGGAAGACAATGAAATCCACACTTTCAAGACCATAGCATCCACAATGTCCAATATACCTTCAAGAATCTGAAGAAAAAGCAAAAATGTAATCAATTGAAACAGAGTGATGAATAATAGAGATGTTGAATTTACTAGATAAAGACTTTAAAACAGCTATTATAAACATATTTAAGGTTTTAAAGAAAAAGATAGAAACAATAAGTGAAGTTATAAGGAATCTCAGCAGAAAAATGGAAATTATGTCAAAGAATTAATGAAAATTGTGAAACTGAAAGAAGTTATATGTGTAATAAGAATTTTACTAGATAGGCTTAATATCAGATCGGACCTTGCAGAAGATGAAATCAGTGACCTTAAAGACAGGAC